TATCGTGCACGCATGAAGGCGTCTAGTAACAAATCCATCATGGCGGATGACGCACAGTAGACGAAGACGAAGAGTTTCATGTACAGGTGATGGAATGGGAGGTGTACACGCTCTGAATGGCAGCTCGACACACCGTGGAACATTACACTTGATTGTGGTTATGATGGTACATACAGGGTGGATTCTACGTGTCGCTTGTGACATAAACCGTGTGTTTCAAATTTGACTCTCACCATTGGTAGAGGAAAAGAAGGTATTATGGACTGCAGGTGATTTGGAATACCTGGGTTTCTGCAAAACCACTAGCTCCATATCTATTAAAAAACCTGCTAATTAGGTGGGAAAAGCGCAATTTCTGACATAATGAAGCTAACCTGGTGTTTATAGTTAATAAAATTTTGTATAAGTACTGAATGAAGCATAATAAGTAAGTGATAAAAATTTCAAAATGATTGCACTGCTTTAAAGCCCTTTGACCTTTAATAATGTGTGGATGCACCCTGATGTGTTACGCATTCTCCAACGCGCCTAGGCAGGCTTCTGATCAGGTGGTCAATGTCCTCCTGTGGTATCTCATTCCAGGCAACCTCCTCTCGAAGTGCTTCTAGAGTCTGAGGAGGACGTTGCAAATTGAGCAATCTCCTACCCATCATATCCCACACGTGCTCAATTGGGGATAAGTCGGGAGATCTTGGTGGCTATGGTAACAATGTGACATCATTATCTTGAAAGAAGTCTATTGTGACTCTTGCAACATGTGGTCGGGCATTATCTTGTTGGAAAGTTGGATCTGCCAGGGTGTCAAGATAGGGTAAAAGATGGGGTTCTAGAACTTCGTGGATATAACGCAGCGCGTTCATGTTACCTCTGATGAAGATTAAAGGTGACCTGGAACCATAAGCTATAGCACCCCAAACCATAACTCCAACAGTGTGATGAACATGTCTTTCAACAAAAAACTGTGGATTCCTCCTTTCACCACGTCGCCTTCTAACCCTGGCACGACCATCGTGCATGCCTAAACAAAATCGAGACTCGTCACTAAAGACAATACTGTTCCATTCCTGATCCCAGAGTGACCGTTGTCTGCACCACTCAAGGCACCACGTCGGTGTTCTCGAGTTAAAGGGAGGACCCAGTGTGGCCGGTATGAAAACAAGCCAAAACTTCTCATTCGTCGGTAAACACTTCGCATGCCAATAGGTCTTCCGTGTTCTGCAAACCATTTATTTGCAATGGACCTGGTAGTGGAGAAACGGTCCCTTAAGGCCAATAATCTTAGGCGGCGATCTTCACGGTCTGTTGTTCTACGGCGGCGTCCAGTGCCCCTTGCTCTTTGCGTACGGCCTTCTCGAAGCCATGCCTGACAACACCTAACCACAGTGGCTACAGTATATTCAGATAAGAGATAGACCGGATGTAAACAAAAGGTTCGGGTGATTTTCACGCTAACGCCGCCGTCTCGACGTAAGACAGGAGCCCTCATTGGTCAATTCGCAATTAAATGCCTATGCCGAGCGGCAGAGCAGTCGTATCAAGGCAGAGTCACATTCAGGTTCAGACGTGTTACGTATGTCGTGTGCATCATTGCAATTTGATATTTCTTTGGACGTTTTCGTTTGTTATCTTATTAAGTTGTTGAGTTTGTCGTTGTTATTGTTATACCTTGTTATTGATTGTTATTGTTATCAACTGCTTGCGCAAAATGCCCAGTAGTACAGATACTGCCGATGAAGTTGTAAACTCCTGTAGTCCACCTAGGAAACGCTCTAAAAAAAGACACCTGAGTGCAGAAATGAAAGAGGTCATTTTGAATATATATAAGATCGAGCGCGAGGAGAACGAGGCATCAACCATCAAATAAATTGTTGTGAAGGTTTCTCATAAAGTTGGGGTGTGTCGCGCATCAGTGTTTAATGTGTTAAGACAATACAAAAAAAATCACACAATTTCTGAGCCAATGACCAGTAAACATCGCAAAAGTATTGTTAAATCATTGGATGAAGCTGATAAGCATGCGATTAGGAGGAAAGTGCATGAATTCTTCTTTAGGAATGAAATACGTACTATAGATAAAGTACTGCAGGAGGTAAATGGAGATACAACGTTGCCAAATTTCAAACGATCAACTTTCCATGCGTTACTGAAGCATTTAAATTTCAAATGGAAAAAACGGGGTCGTAATAGTTCACTACTGGATAGAGAAGAAATTGTGCTATGGAGGAGGGATTATTTAACAAAAATTGGGAAATATAGAAATCAAAACAGGAAGATTTATTACCTTGATGAAACGTGGGTAAACGCAGGACACACTACAAGTAAAGTATGGGTTGATGATTCTGTAACTTCATCCTGGAGGGCCTTTCTAGATGGACTGTCCACCGGATTAAAAAAGCCAGCAGGTAAATACGAGTAATAGACAACAATCGGATGTTTTTCAAACCTTGGGAACAAGGTTCTAAACATTAATCCCAGGGGGCAGATAAAACATATTACAAGTAACAAAACTTTTATAACTTTCGATAAAATGCGTGGATGTTTTATTGTCATTTTCATTTGTTAGAACTTTTTTAAGCCATGTTTTTATGTGTTTTCGATATTTCAATAATTTTTTAATATAATCTTAAAATATGTCGAATATTATAAACTTAAAAAAAATTACTAAGTTTTATATTGTGTACCGTTCCTAATATTTCTAATGATTTTAATTCATACTTTAAGCTTTATAAAGTTATAATTTGTTAATATTAATATTTGCGCGTATTTCAGGTTCCTGATCATTCATTTTTTAAAGGTTTATAACTTTAAATTAAGTTGTGAAGCGCTGAGTAATCATACGACGTTCAATATTCTTTCTTTCAATATGACTAAATAATCCCAATTATAGCAATCTGATACTCATGTCTCAATGTTTTTTCGCTGAATGTGATGAAAACATTTGAAAAAGGTTCGCTTATTGAAATAAATCTACACCAGTTAGTACTTCGATTTCCAGGTAAAGGGAAAAGGCTCATTATCTGCCATATTGGCAGTGAGGATGGATTTGTTGTTGACGGTCTGTGGTGCTTTGAGTCTAAGAAAACTGGAGATTACCACGAGGAAATGAATGGCGAATCGTTTGAACAGTGGTTTTCAAAAATTTTACCGAACTTAGAGGAAAACGCAGTAATTGTGTTGGATAATGCGCCTTATCATTCTCGAAGAACGGAGAAGGTCCCAACAACGGCTTCAAGGAAAGTTGATGTTCAAAATTGGCTCCGCTCGAAAAATATCAACTTTGAAGAAGCAATGCTGAAAGTACAATTATTAAGAATTGTCAAGGATCACAAGGCGGAATGTCAAAAATACGCCATTGACGAAATGGCAGCAAATCAAAATAAAACTGTGCTCCGTTTACCTCCATACCATTGCGAGCTCAATCCCATTGAGCTCATATGGGCAGAGGTTAAAAATTATATAGCTAAGCACAATACAACTTTTAAATTTTGTGACCTCAAAGGACTTTTCAAAGACGCACTAGAATTAATAACAGCGCAAAAATGGGAAAACTGTATTAAGCACGTGAAAGACAAAGTTGAAAAGAGAATGTGGGAACTGGACAATATTTTAGAGGAACAAGTCGAGCCATTCATTATTGACGTTGGTGCTTCAGGCAGTAGCGATGATGAAAGCTCATCAAGCTCATCTTTCCAATAAAAGATGTCGTTCATCAAATTCGGTAAGTTATAAGTAATTATAAAGCTACTGTATTTTTTAATTAATTATTGACATTTTTGAACCCATTTTGGCAAAACCTATTCAAGAATGTACTTTCTGACAATGTTCAACCATGCACATTTTTTTACGTTTTGAACGTTTTAATTTGGTTACATATTTACCTAGAAATCAAAAAATATACTAATCAATATTCTAAAAGCAATTTTAAGAGATATACGATTATTTTTAATTTAGGCTAATTTAAACGCCATTTTGAGATTATATTCGACTGTATTTCACCAAACATCAGGCGGCATCCGAAGCTGGAAATCGAAGCGAAAATTTTAAAACCCTTATGTATATTTACATCATTATATATTTCTTACCCCACCCCCACATGATCCTATATCCACCACCAATCGTATACACATCGAAATGTGCTAATTTACTACAAAGTTACGCAAAGCAGCATCTACTATCTAAAATATGTACTGCGTGACTCTTAATACGTCCCTGCCGAATGTTACAGCGTTCGATGATCACGTGGTCTTGTTTATGTCCGGTCTATCTCTTATCTGAATATACTTTACACTTCTTTGCACTCTAACTGCAATTGCCCGAAAAGAAAGTGCAGCTTCCCGAAGTCCCACTATACGGCCCCTATCAAACTCACTAAGTTGACGAAATCGTACAGGTCTCCGTACTCTAGGCATCGTAACCGATCGTAAAGGATGTCAAGAACCAAAATCCGCCAACGTTGATTCTTTACTGCGGCTAAAATATTCATTTTTAGAGCGTTAGTGAATTAAAAAAAAGCAGTATAAAAACCGGAATGTCCAACTGATAAGGCTGAAAATTTTTTCACTTGTTATTTACAGTGAGATAAATACATTCGCCAACTTTTATTAAAATAAAACGATTTAAACTAGGTGTTCGGATTTATATGTCACTTAGTATATTACTCAGTTTGGCAGTGACCTTCGACAATACGCACATGTGCATTTGCAAAGTTCTTTAAGTAAGTATTGAATCTGCATTTATTGAAGTCATCCGATAAAAAATGGTTTTATTTGTTTTAAGTGCTTAATTAGGGAACGTATTAGGTATGTTGGTGTATATATTTTTTTATTAGGGGTTGAATTTGATATTTCTTTAATGTTTTTTAAAATACTGCAATGTTGCTAATTTGGAATACTACATTTGAAGGTAATTTGGAATATTCCATAATTCCTTCAATGTTTAGACTCTCAAGAAAAAAAAAGTATTTTGTCGGCAAATAGTTTTTATATTGTTTTTTTTTTTAGATATGCCATCGCCAAAAGCGCGGAGAATACGAAGTGGGATTCCACATATATGGCAAATGCAATTGCCGCCGTTCGTGAAAAAAGGATGGGCTACTTAAAAGCTTCGCAGCATTTCAAGGTGCCACGTTCGACGCTGTTTGATAAAAATTTTGAGTCTATGCCAGTAGACTACGCCCTTAACATGGAAAGCAAATTTTATGGTTTGTCCCAAAGTGACCTGCGAAAAATGGCTTACGAGCTGGCTGCAAAAAATAACATTCCAAATCCATTTACTAATCAAGCTGCAGGCAGATATTGGCTTAAAGGTTTTTTGCAAAGAAAGAAAACTTTGACCGTGCGTAAGCCAACAGGCACATCGTATGCTAGAGCTCATGGTTTTACTAACGCATGACTGAGTTTTATGACATTCTGGACAAGGTCTATGACGAAACAAAATTTTCAGCCGATAGGATATTCAATGTCGATGAGACGGACCTCTCGATCGTACAAAGCAAACATCCGAAGATTATAGCGCGCCGAGGCAAGAAGCAAATTGCTGCCATGACATCTGCAGAAAGGGGTTCGCTTATTATCTGGACAACAAATTTTAGTTTTTTAATTGTATCTTGTGGGAAAAGTGCACTTCTTTGTTAATTTTGGGGCGCTGAATCCAAAAATGACATTGAAATAAAAAAATTAGTTGCGGTTTAGAAAAAAACTTTTTATTTTTAAGGATATATTAAAAAAAGTAACAAGATTCATATACTTCACTATATGCGCTGTCTTTTTGCTGTTCTTTTATGGATCGTTTCTGGAGCATCTCTACCAAGAGTCCAACAGTAGTCTGCAAGCATGGAAGGATTCCACTTTCCCTGGTACCTTTTTTTCCATTGTTGAAATATCCTGATGAAAACGTTCGCCGTGCTCATCACTTACGGCTCCGCAATTGTCAGGAAAAAAGTCCAGGTGTGAGTGTAGGAAATGTATCTTAAGAGACATATTACAGCCCATCTTTTGATACGATGACAGCATATTTTTGACAAGGGTTTTATAGTTGTCAGCTTTTCTATTTCCCAAGAAATTAGTGACCACCAGACGGAAATCATTCCAAGCAGTTTTTTCAATACCTGTTAAAGTGTTTTCAAACTGTGCATCTTTCAAAATATTTAGAATCTGTGGCCCAACAAAAATACCTTCTTTAACCTTTGCCTCACTTAGTCTTGGAAATTTCTGACGCAGGTATTGAAAAGCTGATCCATCTCTATCTAATGCCTTGACAAAGTTTTTCATTAGGCCCAACTTGATATGCAGTGGTGGTAATAAATTTTTTTTCGAATCTACTAATGGCATATGCTGTACATTTTTTTGACCTGGCTCTAGGAATTGACGAACAGGCGAGTTTTGTCTGGTGTAATGAAGTGCCTTTGCCCGACTGTCCCATTCACACAAAAAACAGCAAAACTTTTTGTAGCCTAGCTGCAGCCCAAGTAAAAGTGCAACAACTTTCAAATCGCCACAAATATGCCATTGGTGCTCATCGTATTTTATGCATGTCAATAGGTACTTCATATTGTCATATGATTCTTTCATGTCAACTGCATACCCTACAGGAAGAGATAGTAAAATATTTCCAATATGCAATAACACTGCCTTTAAACTCAATGTTGAACTGTCTATAAACAATCTCCATTCTTCTGGGTTATAGTTTATATTTAAAGCCGCCAGTAAGCCGTTAATGTTACTGCAGAAAACCAAGTTATTCTCCATATTGAAAAATGGTTCTAAGTCTTTGTGGCGTTTACGAAAAACACATACCGAAACATCGTCTTTTAACAAGTTCCACTGCTGCAGTCTTGATCCAAGTAACTCTGCCTTACATTTTGGAAGTTCTAAATCTCATACAAGATCATTTAATTCTGACTGTGTTATTTTGTGCGGTTGGTGGCATGACGTGCTCGGTATAAAATCAGGATCTCTTGACGTCACGGACGTATATAAGGGGGGGGTTTTGGGGGTCCGGACCCCCCCATTCATATCCACCTTACTTGTCCAACAGAAAAAAATTACATGCACCGCGCCGATTGTAATAAACGATAGTTGCTGTGGAGCGTGTCCGTAGGGCGAGTATCGGAAAACGCGATGCGTATGCCCGCGTAGTGCGGGGTGAGGGGGGATGGGCACTTCCCCCGCCACCGTCGCCCGCGCTTCGGCGGCGCGCACCAAACCAAGCTAGTCTAGTAGTCTAGTCCACAGAACTGTCTAGTCTATTTTATCTCTTCGCGTTGACGCGTTGCGCAGTTGTTATAAATACAATATAGAAAGAAGTGTCGCTATGAAACGAACAAATCAGGTATCTCTTTTGGGTTTTTTTTGTAAGAAAGAGAGTCCAAAGCCCAATGAACTTTTGTCAATTGAAGAAGTAGGAATAAATAGAGCGGGGCCATCCACAGATACTGATGACGATGAAGTGAAGAAAGGTAAGTCTCTTATTTATTTAATTAGGAAGAAATCCAGTTATTTGAATTTAATAGACGCTCTAAAAACTTTTATCCTGCTCTTATTTTTATTCCCAGAGAATTTTTGTAAACAATTGTGTTGCCGTGAGCATAAAATATTTGACAAAAATGGTAATTTCAGTGTATATGCGGAATGTACCTAAGTGTCATAAAATCATTTCGCCTTTTAAGAGAAATAGAATTATATTTAACAACTAAGTGGCGCCCGCGACTGTGTTCGCGTAGACTTAATTTTTAGTTGAAAATTCTTATTCCCAACATAACTTTTTAGTTTTTGTCAAATATTTCTTTGTTACAGCCAGGATCGATTTGTGTTTGGCTCCGTCCGCAGCCGCAGCCAGGACGGGTTATGATATTGGGAAATACGTATGTCATCCTCCAAGCAATGACGAGGAAAAGCTGAGAGCATTAAAAGAGCCTTGGATTCCTCCGGACACATTTAAATTTCCAGTCACTGACACCGGTAAAAAGAAACTTTCTTTTCAACGCCATTGGACTAACAGGTACTCATGGCTTGTATATTCAAACCTCATGCAGGGAGCACTTTGCAAAGTATGTGTTCTACTTGGAAAAACGCAAGGTGGTCGTGGTCATCAAGAACTTGGAGCCTTTGTTAGTAAGCCATTTATTAACTGGAAGAAAGCTTTAGAGAGCTTTGATCACCATGCAGATACGAAGTATCACAAATTTGCTGTTGAGCAGGCAGCAAATTTTGCAAGGATCATGGAAGGAAAAACGCTTGATGTTACAGAATGCTTAAATGTAGAAAACAATAAAATTGCCGAAGAGAACAGAAAAAGATTAAAAGCCATTGTTGAAACAATTATTCTTTGCGGAAGGCAAGCAATAGCACTAAGAGGAAGTCATGATTCTGGAGAAATTGGGATAAATGAGCCTGAACATAATAATGGTAATTTTAGAGCACTTCTTCGTTTTCGTGCGCGATCTGGCGATGAAGCACTCAAGAATCATTTACTAACACAAAACATTCACAGTAGAGCCATGTATACGTCATCAGTAATTCAAAATGAGGTGATTGAACTATGTGGTAGTGCTATTCAAACGCAAGTACTTAATAGGGTCAAAGAGGCTGGTTTTTTTACTATACTTGCTGATGAAACACAAGACATTTCACGGCGAGAACAATTAGCGTTATGTTTACGATATGTACACTGCTCATCTGGGAAATCGGTTATACGGGAAGATTTTTTAGAATTCATTCACGTAGAAGATGTTTCAGCTCAAGCTTTGGCAACGACTATTATATCACATCTTTTATCATATAACTTGGATATGGATAAATGGATTGGTCAAGGCTATGATGGCGCTGCAGTGATGAGCGGCCGGTTACGGGGCGTAAGAACAATAATCTCAGAGCAATACCCGAAGGCGCAATTCGTACACTGTGTTGCTCATGTTCTTAACTTAGTTTTAGCGCACTCATGTGAGATACCAATGATACGTAACTGTATCGGAACCATTAAGAGCGTAATAAACTTTTTTCGCCAATCACCGCTTCGCGACGGACTTTTGAAGAAAATTGCGGATCAAATTAACTCATCTCATTCAACGCTTATCTCTCTTTGTGAGACAAGATGGACCGAGAAACACGTGGCTGTCGAAAGATTTGCAGAAATGGTTCCCGTTATACGCGAAACACTTGGGGCACTTCAAGATGCTGCAAGCAGCGACGTCGCTACTCAAGCATACCATCTTCAAACCGCTATGGATAACAGCCAGTTTATTGTTTCTTTAGTTATACTGAGAAAAGTTTTTTCATATACAGCAAACCTTAACAAAGCAATGCAGAAAGTCAATGTCGATTTGACCAACATTTGCGAATATACAAAAACGGTAAAAACGACTTTACTAAATGTTCGGAACGAAAGTCAGTTTGCAATCCTTTTTGAGCAAGCGCAGCAGATGAGTTCAGGCGATATAGTCGTGCCAAGAATAACTGGAAGGCAAACCCTGCGCAATAATATTGCAGCAGAAACTGCCGAAATATACTACCGACGAAATGTGTTTTACCCTTTCATTGATCATGTTATTGCAGAACTCGACGCTCGTTTTAAACCACATGAATCGACGATCGAAGGAATTCAAATGCTGTTACCTGAAAAAACTAGTAATGACTCCAGGATAAAAGAAAATCTTGAAAAAATTGCACAAACATTTCTTGGTGGAGAAAATGAAGGCACAATATTTCTGAGTGAATATGAGATATGGCACAATCACTGGAAATCTGTAGCACAAAAACCTGCAACTGTGCTTGACGCTATCGATAACTGCGATGATCAGTTCTTCCCTTCAATAAAAAAGCTTCTAATTATCTTAGCCACACTCCCAGTGTCCACTGCAACCCCTGAAAGATCTTTCTCTACCTTAAAGAGGTTAAAAACTTACCTAAGAAATAAAATGGGCGATGAAAGACTTACTGGTCTGGCTTTAATGAGCGTACACCGAGATCTGGCGGTGCAACTAGATTCCGAAGAAATTATCAATCAGTTAGCAATAAAACGTAAAAGACTAAATTTATTATTTTAAAGTTTCAACTTTGTTACTTTTGAATAAATATTGCAATACATACATTAAACTTTTTATTTAAAGGCACCTACCTAAGTAACCTGAGTTATATATTATAGATTACCCGCGACTATACTTGCGTGTTATAATCGAAATGTTTAATCTGTAAGTAATAGATCCAATTGGCGTTAGAGCTCTGTTTTTTTTCACTTTGGGGACCCCCCCCTTATCAGAGCTATAGCTACGTCAGTGCTTGACGTTGATGGCATATCTTCTTCCTGACGAATCACTCGATCGCCATGATCTGATTCGTTTTCTGATTCGCAAGTGTAGGATTCTGGGGGTTTTGGAATAGGATTTTCGTCACTGT